AAGTTATACCTTGTTTGTTAATTGTTAGGGGATTGCAAAATATTTAAGTTATAAATAAATATATATCGGTGGTGAATAAATGTGTAGTATTCATGGGATAAAATTATTTGACCGATTATAAACAAACCATAAACAAGAGGCAAAAAATGACGAAATATATATTGTAGAACTTCTATCAGCTATTAAATTCGTAATTAACATCTTAGCCCTTGTTTGGTGGGATATTTTTTTGGAAAAAATTATTTTAGATAGTAATTTTTTGGAGATTATGTAGTTAAAAAGTAAAGAAAAATTTTGAATTACATGTAAAATATTGTATCATGTGAATATGTAGTTAAAAATGAGTAGAAAAAAAAGTTCAAAAGAATAAGAGACAAACGTGGACTTATAAGACGAAACAAGTATTTCATCTCTGACAATTCTACTCGCACTAACTTTCTTTTTCGTATGGGTAATGAATGACATAGCGTATAAATCTTTTACAAGCAATAAAAATTTGCATTCATATATTCTTTTTGAATTATTGTGACGGATTTAAGCAACGTTAGATTTGCACAAAATCGCATGACTCATATTTGCTCCCATTGTGTTGACTCATACTTGCTCCCGAAGAGCACAGAAATGGTGAACGATAATATTAATAGCGACATTCACCATATGTTCATATTTGGCCCATGTTTGAATCATATTAAAAATTTCATTATTATTATTTTATTTATTTTCAGCTACACATTATTCAATAAAATAATATTTTACATCACATCAATAACTTTTCCTTGTTTTCAACCACACATTGTCTATCAATTTATTATTCCAACTGTGGCTCAAACACATCTTTAGCCCTTGTTTGGTACACATATATTATTTTTTGCTTAATATGGAGGACGCGGATCCAGCTATGATAAACAAATGACATTGTGTAACAATTAGTTAAATTATATAAATTCGAAAAAAAAAAAATTCAAGTACTTTTTTCCACCCAAACGGGACTTGGCAGGTTGACAATTGGAGTGGAAGGAGAAGGTGGGTTGGGCAGGTCGCGGATTTGGAAACAACATTGAAATGATTGGAATCGGGAATGGAATCCGCCAATGAAGTAAGGAGAGAAAAAGTTCATGACAAAAATTCAACCGAGATCAAAAACAGATTTTGTAAAAATTGATTAAATGTGTGGACGAAAGTTATCGATCATATGAAATATTTTGTTAGAATTAATTATTAATTTTTACTTAGAATTAAAATTTTAATTTTCACCAAACAAAGCTTAGACTGTACCCCTTTTTGAGC